CATAGACCCTTCACGCGTCATCGACGCCGCTGCCGTTGCGACGCTCATCTTCTCTTGGACGTGCTCCAAGAGCGCGTTCTCGTAGTGTGAGAACGATTCCAGCCTGGCGGTGACCGCCTCTGAGTCTTGCGACGCCAGATGAGCCACGCCCTCCGGGCCAAGCAAGGACATAAGCTTAGTAAGCGCGTCCTGCTGCGCCGGGGGCAAATTGGCGAACACTGGGTGTTCCAACCTCGCGGAGGATATAGTCAACCGACGCAGGAGCGGAATTGACTACAAGTGCTACCAAGTGTAGCGGGGCTGCCGTAGCTTTAGCGTCAGAGGAAGACGTTCGACTCAAAGAGTCACTAATACTAAGCTCCTTATCCAAAGGACACTTACCGCCCACGGCCAGGGCTCAAAGTTAATACCTTAACTTTTATGCTTCAAAACCAGTAGCGTTTTATTCACTATTATTGCGGCCAAGCCGCCTAGGGGTAAATGTATCTGTTTAACTTTCTAGCATAGCTAAACCTAATCAAATGCATAATGTGTGGCTTTCAGCCAACGTACTGAGAGACCTTTTTAACTCTCCAGCTTATGTTTTGAGGGTTTCTTAGCTCTCCGAGTACTTCGTACCCCTGTGTGCTCCATACCATGTAACATCGTTACACACTAGCTGCCCAATGCCATTATTTATGCTAAGGAAGGGCTCCCGATAAATAACAATAATGCCATAATCGGGAGACCTGGCTGTCCAGCTGCATTTCTTACCCGCTTGTACTGCCTATTTGAGCTTGTAAGTAATAGTAAATGATGATTGATCACTTCTCAAACCAAACTCAATGAAAGCTAAAACATATTCAAAATGTAACATTTTTATGCATGTAGCGTTCATTGTGTACTGATTCAGAATTAGTCATTAGACACTCGATTATGTACCAGTTAAAAATTAAAGTTTCTGGATAAGGTGCCGCAAGACGCCTTGCTGTTCTTGTTGTTGACTGCAGCGTTTTTTTATTTGATAGTGCTGTTTGTCGCCTACAACCGAAATGTAGATGTGTCCTTGTTCATGAGAGAGCACTCTTTTATGCAAATGCATGACTACTGAAAGGTCGGCCGTTCTGCAACCACCAGTTGAAGTGTCGTCCGTTGTAAAGTTCAACGTGTTGCACTTGCACTAGGCCAAGTGCTGTTACCGCTGTGCTGCAACCCCAGCGATTGCGGCACTGTGTAGCATTAGCTACAGCACTTCCCCCTCCGATGCCGTAGTCGTAGTTCTTCATTTCAGCGCCATCTTAAAGCTACTTGTCTACTTGATCCGGAGCGCATTACGCAGAGCTCGTATTTTGCATTGCTTGTGATGTTTCTTGACAAAGGCTCGCACGGCCACTGGAACGTCTTGTAGCAGCACGTCTGCTGGTTCCCAAGAGGCCTCTGCTTCACTGAGACCTTTCCAGCGCACCTCAATTTCATGACGCGTTGTCTACGAGTTGTAGCACGCCTTCAGCAACTTGTCAGCTACGGGCCCTTCAATGTTCGGATCCACGTGCTTCAACATTTGCTTGTTCGCGTTCAGAGAGCCGTCTGCGTAAAACTTAAGGCGGCTAGCATGGGCTTCACGTCGCCGCCCAGTGATGAGAGTTTCTATCTCGAAAATTCTATATGAGACCGTCCCTGTCACTTGTACAGGCCACACCCCTTACACACGCAGCTTACGTCGTGTGTGCTACCAGACATCGGCGTACAGCACGTAGGCACCGATATCGAACTGAGACATAGCTGTTTCTAACTTTTTGTTTTGATTCTTACTCGAACCGCCCAGTTCACCCGGTTTGTACGACGATGCATTTCATCTTGTGCTTAGCCCAGATTTTCCATGTGGTCGCGCTACGATGTATGTATACTCTCCAATGTAGTCATTTCGTTCGAACCTGGAAGCGCAAGGCTGTCGCTTGGATACATTGCCGGAAGTCCCATCATAGCCGTGATGGGGGCCACCCCTTCTAGCAATGGCGACGGTGAGTTGTTGAGCACCATCTGCGCAAACGTCTCCACTCGGATAGGGGGCACGGCGACAACGAAGCGTTTCACACATCACAACCTCAATGGTGCCGTTCGACCACGGGTACCTTGCCATTGTGAAGTGGTAGTGCGCACCTAATGCGTGATGCAAAGCCTCGATGGGTTTGTTCTTGAAGTGTATGCCCTGGTCGCTGACCCAGGTACGACACACTCCGAACGAAGCAAACCACTCGGGCAAGCCGTTTAATGCTGTGTCTGCATCTGCAGCTGCACATGGTAGCAGCACACGTACTTGGACGCGTCGTCTTCAATCAGCTTGCAGTAGGCGTTACAAGCTCATGACAAAGAGCTACTTGCAATGAAGTATGCTCTAGTCAAATTCAGGGTACACCTGCTTCGCTCTAAGCCTTTTGTGATCTTTACGGATCATGCGTCGCTACGCACTGCGACACAGTCGCCTCATCTCTCTCAGATAATGGCAAGATGGCTTTCTTTCTTTGCCGAGTACAACTTCGAGGTAAAGTACAAGCCAGGGGCGCTTAATGTAGAGGCCGATGCGCTCTCGCGTCGGCCGGACTACGAGTTAGCTCATGTCATGACAGTGACGTCGTCAGTGCCTGACTTGAAACGCAGAGCGTATGCAGAGGACGACATGTGCGTAGCGCAGCTACGGGCTCTTGGAAGAGAAGAGTTCAAAGACTCCGACAAGGAATTTTCTGGGCGCTTACGCGCGAGGCTGCATCGATACTCGCTCGATGACGGCCTGCTGTACTACAGCACCGACTCTGAGGATAATCCTCGTGTAGTCGTACCTCATGATGAGGAACTAAAGTGTCGAATCCTCTATAAGGTTCATGATACGCCCGTGGGCGGGCACTTAGGTCGGGAGAAGACCTATGGCTCGGTGAGCTCGATATACTGGTGGCCCGAGATGTATAAGTGAGCTGGCACCTATGTACGCACGTGTGAGACGTGTCAACGGACAAAGTCCGCGCCGAGCACAGCAGCGCCATAAGCGAGTTTGCCTGTCCCCAAGGGATGTTGGCAGTCCATGCGTATGGACTTTGTGTTTGGCCTTCCCAAGGATAAGGCGGGAAACACGGGTATTGTGGTCTTGGTAGACCGATTGAGCAAGATGGTTCATTTAGCGGCGGTGCCGGACACCATTGATGATGAAGGTACAGCTTTGCTGTTTTTAGACGGCATCTTTCGCCAACATGGCTTGCCTGAGGCAATTGTCTCGGATCGAGACCCACGCTTCACTGCGAAGTTCTGAACGTCCCTCCTCAGAGCGCTCGGCATTCGTTTGGACATTTCCACAGCGGACCATCCGCAGACCGATGGTCAAACCGAACGCGTGAAGCGCGTTGTGGAGGATATCATCCGAAGCGTATGCGCTGAGGCGCGAAAATGCTGGGGCCAGATGCTCCCACTCGTTGAGCTCGCATTAAATAATGCAGTGCACGCCTCGACAGGCTACACTTCGTTCTATGAGAACGGCTTGGATAGCCGTCGCGTCCCACTGACGCCGCCACGCAGTGGCTTAGGGCTTGATGGGGAGGGATAGCTGAGCGGCTAGCTGATGTCGGCCCTTTTGCGGTTCGCAAACAAGTCGATGACTTTGTCTCTTTGAGACTGAGCGTAATACGTCAAATACGCGACGCTATGGCTGAAAGCCAAGACACGCAGAAGGAACATGCAGATGCCAAGGGCAGAAGCAATGTTGATAGGCTTGAGGTCGGTGAACCCAGTTCTATTAAACGTGAAAAAAACTACCTACTCTTGCAGTGTCCGCAGTCTTCAAGACGAAGTTGAGACCTCGGCCCCCATAGACCCATTTAAGATTGTGGCCAGTAAGGGCCTAGCGTATACGCCCACCTTCCGAAGAAGATGCGCACGCATCCGGTCTTCTATGTTGGCTTGCTTAAGCCATATCAAGCCCTGCTCAGGTGAGCGCGGAGGCGTTGGCGCCAACGGTGACTGGGCCACGGACAGCGGCAGGGCAGCAGGTGACAGAGCCACGGGAGGCTGAACGACAGCAAGTGATGGACCCACAGCAGGCTGATCAACAGCATGTGGCAGAGCCACAGGTCGCGGAGCGAAGTGCTCGAGGTGCAAGAGCAAGGCAAGCTGAGCGCTCAGCCGAGCGACTGGACGCTCAAGGTCCGAGGCCTGGCTGTGCGTTAGCAGTGGTGACTCTAACCTATGCACAAGGTGGATCATCTCTTCGAGACCGACCGATGGTCGGTGAACGTGAACGTTCGCGCCGTGGAAGCCGGCTACGTATGGACGCAGACGCCGTTCCGGCAAGTGCTGACGCTCCCCGCGAGAGCCCAGCTGAGGCAAGGCCTCCTTCCGCTCTGCTCGATGAGCATGGTGAGCCCCACTATCACGGGAACGCCTTGTGGCGCGGCGTAGACGCCAGGGTCGTACCCAGTACTTGGTGAAGTGGAGGGGTTACCCTCACTCACAGAGCTCATGAGAGTCTGAGGTTATCCTCTGGCAAGATTACTCTGACGTCTCGTTGACGCTTACGATCGGGCACATCATGTGTCGAAGCGCCACCATGGCGTGCGACAGCGTCGCCAGGCGCTTGGCGTCTCCCACAAGAGGGGGAGCGAACAGGTCAGTAGTTGGGCTCAGGCTCTGACCAGTGGCTGCAGCAGCCACTTCGTACGTATGATCGGTGCTCGCAGCGGAAGCAGGAAGTGGAGAGACCTCGTCGTTTCAGGGACATGGTCCCGAAGGAAGCAGGTGCTTCGTGCTGTGCTGAACAAGGTTCAGGCACAAGCGTCTCGATAGACGCATAGTTGTTTTCAAGCAACTTGCCCGATGAGCATGATCCAAATGTGGATGCGCTGTAACCGCGAAAGTGTGTCCCAGATGGGGATCGAACCACTGGCCTTTGGCTTTCCAGGCCGGAGCTCTACCATTGCGCTATAACGGCGATGCCCGTAAGTTTGTCCGAGTACGGACTACTCATGAAATGAGAGGGCAGCGCCCGGGTGGAATCGAACCACCGACCTGTGGTCGTCAAAGCCAAAGCTCGATCACTGAGATAAGGGTGTTGCCCTTAAGTTTGTCCAAGCGTGGGCAGCAGCTCATGGAACGAGAGAGCTGTGCTCTGGTGAGCTCAAACCACCGTCCGATGGCTCTAAAAGCCAATGCTCAACCATTGAGCTAAAAGGGTGTTGCCCTTAAGCTTGTCCAAGCGTGGACAATCATTCATAGAGCGAGAGGGCGACGCCCTGGTGGGATCGAACCACCGACCTATCGCTTGTAAAGCGAGTGTTCAACTACTGAACTGTTGGCAACGACTCGAATGAGTCAAGAGCATAACTCTTAGCGGTTTGCAGCTCTTGGAGAAGGCGCGGAGCGCGAGGGTAAGTCTGAGACCACTTGAGAGCAAGGTGCGCAGTGCGCTTGAAACATTGGGCTGTGGACCGACGACGAGAAGTTGGGCATCAACGATGCGTAGGCGTTTGTGAGCTCACAGAGCTGTACAACGCTGGTGGGACGTGTAGTAACCTCCACCGTCTTAACAAGACGTGACCTCGCTGAGGAACGCTCCGATAACGGAATGTTCTCATCTTAGTGGGAAAGAGTGTAACGGGCTTACATGGCGTGGAGCACACCGCGGTACGAAGTACCCGGAGAGCTAACAAACTCTCAGTACATAAGTTGGAGAGTTAAAGGTCTCTCAGTACGTGGGCTGAAAGCCACACGTTATGCATTTGATTAGGTTTAGCTATGCTAGAAAGTTAAACAGATACATTTACCCCTAAACGGCTTGGCCACAATAATAGTTAATGAAACACTTCTGGTATTGAAGCACAAAAGTTAAGGTATTAAGTTTGAGCCCTGGTCGTGGGCTGTAAGTGTCCTTTGGATAAAAAGCTTAGTATTAGTGACTCTTTGAGTCGATCGTCTTCCTCTGACGCTTAAGCTAAAGCTACGGCAGCTCCGCTACATAGTGCCAATACATATATTATGGCATGCACAGTGGTCAAACAATTAATAAGAGCATTATGTGGAGAAACCCAACATAATTGTTTTGTACATCACGTGGAAATCACACCGTTTGCGTGCATTAATAACACCCTTTTGCCTACTTTGTCCGAAATGAGGAGTGAGCGCTTCAGCAACTCTGATACTAAGCGTTTGCGAGTTAATTTTCAATGAGCATGCTGATGTTTGCATAATGAGGAAGATATCTTTTCATAAATTATGGATGAATATAGTCGAATTTCCGACCATACTTGAAGTTACATTCACATTATTCACCAATAAAGTGTATTCAGTGCGCTTTTGATAGTTTTGAACGAATGAAAGCAGAGAAGATGCAGATATTTGTCCAATCAGGAAGGTGCTGTGTAAATAGACAGCATCTCCGACATATCGAGTCGGAGGGGGTGGTCCTGTTATTGATATCCTTTTACAAACTGTAAGTCATTCACATATTTCTCAAATTACGTGAAAGGTCCGACATCTCCGACTCCGTATGAGTCTCGAGGATCTTGCGCTCGCCAGCACGAAGCACAGCACGCTCGTTTTTAGTGTTTCTAAAAGACGGAGATGTGGCGTGGGAATACTTGGAGTCGTCTATGAGTTACGATACTGCCGCGCTGGTTCTAGAAGGTGTGAGGGGGGGGCAAATTTGTCATATAACCCGCCTTCAAGGAAGGCCGCAAGGGACTGCTTCTAGCTCGACACTCGGTGATGCAATACTACCGACAGGCAAAGAGCGGCTCGCTCGACCAATTTCCTCAGCATCGCGTCGCAGCTGAAAATAATATGCTCAAGAAATGCTAAGTGTTGGAGCGCTACTGGATGAAACGCAAGACAGGAACTTGGCCCCAGCATGCACGAAGAAAGCTTTTAAGCAGATAGCCGAATACCTGTATTCAACTGCAACTTGTGCCAGCGACTATCAAGATGCGGCGCTCTCATGCCTCTGGTACCACTTCGGGCGCGCGTCGGACATGACGCTTCTCCGCAAAACGAATCTGACGATTGGATCCGGCGATATTTCGTTCGGTTCATCCGGGTCAAGACGTTTGAGGAGCAAGGCTTATCGCTCCTCTCAGACTCCGACTCTACCACGTGTCCGTTGCTTGCGGTTGCCCCTGGGCTAATCACGCGCTCATCACCAACAGTGGCACTTCTCAACCGGCTTCCAGAATCGTAGGGACCTTCCCTACCATCTCAGACGCTAACGGCACCTCTGATTGACTTGATCGACCATCCTCAAGACGCACCAAGGTCTGATGGACAGCCGAAAACGGTCGATGCTTCGCCCAGTATCCACAGCTACGTGAATCGCGCTCTTAAACGAGTCATGGGTAAGGCAGATGTGGATGATAACCTGACATTGCATTCCTTTCAACGTGGAGGAGCGCAGCACGCGAATGGGTCAGGTATGTGCGTTCAATGGATCTTCGATAGAAGCGCGTGGAATATGATGTCGACCAACAAGGAATTCGCATACGTCTTCAATTCTCCAGCCGAAGATCACAAAGTTGCCCGAGTACTGAGTGGCCACGACCCTGCGAAACCGGTACCACTTCTAGCCTTGGACTTCTTCGACTCTGACGCGCAAGCCAAGATCCGCCCTGTCTCCTCTGCGCTGTTTAGTGCCTCGACTGGGCTTGATGTGGAGGCTTACAGCATAAACGCACACGTCGATGACACCCTCATGGCATATGTGTTGCGCCACTATCCATCCCTGAAAGGCGTGAAGTCGGACGTCTCAACAGTACAGCGTATCGAGGCATGTGCAGTCGCGAAAGGGGTACCCGTGAATGAGCTTCTTGCATGGTCATCTCACCTGTTCAGCAGCACAAGCCCGGATGGGAAACCCATCATGGTGACTCCTCCAATTAATTCAGAAAATGTAACGAAGCACCCAGTATTTCGTCAGCAAGCGGCTTTGATTGAGCTGTTAGTCCAAGTCAACCAAAAGCTTGACGCCCGACTGTCTACCATGGCGTCTAAGATCTACAACAAGGCCGAACGAGCAGAATCAGGAGACAACACAAGTGAGGGTGTAATCAGCAGCTCGCAGTCAGTAAAGCGAAGACGTACCTCTGCGGCTACGAGCTTAAAAGACGCATGCTACTCCTGGTAAGCACAAGAACCTCGAATATGGCGCTCAGCCGACGCGGCTACGAAGCACACAAGGTCTACCTTCAAGATGATCGTGGCGCTCATGAAGCTGTTCCTCCCCGAAGGCTTCAAGCTGAACAAAAAAAATCACCAGCGTATCGCGATGAGGTGCTGGCCTTGGGGGCAGACGCTGAGGTAAAGCTGCTAGCGTTCCTTTAAGGTAACAAGACCACCGCTCGTGGGGCCCAAAATACCTAGAAGTCCATGCGCAAGCTCCACAAGAGTGACCTTCTCAGCGATCATATCCGTAGCTACCACCAACGTCACGCTGTGGGACGCATCACCGACCCCGCACGATTGCATACGAATAAAGTCATAGCGTTAAATTGCATCCAGTAGTACCACGCTACTTGCCTGGTCCAGTCGTTTCCTATCGATTTGATCAACATTGAATTCATTTTGCAATTTACACCCCAACCTACAGTCACACTGCTGATCTTACCAACGATGAAGCCGACCAATCACCCTGTTAGCTCTTAAAAAAGTTCAAGACCCTGTGTATCACAGCAGGCAAGGCGTACAAGCTTCGCCTGGATGATTTAGCGTTTCGGCACTTCCGACTTACCTTGAACACGATCGTCGCATCAGCAAGCCTTCTTCCCGAAGGCATTCAAGTCATCTACGAAGCCATGAAGGAGCGGAAGAAGCGACGGGCGGGCTTTGGCGATGTTCGCGAATGGCTTGTCGACCCTTCTCCATCTGATGATGACGCCGATCATGTAGGCAGCGAGAAGCAGCACCACGTACGCAAGGTGATGACGTGAAGGCGCGAGTAGCGGCAGATGTACTACCTCGTAGACTGGTAGCCAACGTGGGAGTCGTGGGAGCACATCCACAATTCTGTTGTTGCTGCCTTCGAAAAGGATCGCCGTCTTCTTGTTCGCAAGCGCTTCTTCGAGGACGAGGCTATGGAGGACAACTCACTCAACGACGCAGAAGGTAACGCAGAGTAAGCAATAATAACTAATACTGGGTGCATTACATGCTTAAGAAGCTGTACCTAAACTTTTGCATTGGTAGTACCGTATTGAACACATAGCTTAACCTCCATGTGGAACAGCAAAGCTAACCTCTTTGCAGAGTACACGAAATACACATTTGAGTGCTGCGTCAAACACAAAACTTAACCTCCTTTCAGAACAGCAATGTTAGCCTCAACGCAAGCAAGCACACAACGCATTGACAGCAGAGGTGGCCACATATCGCTTATTCACGAAATATACAAATACACAGATAATCAATGTAGCGGGCCAGCGATAGAGTAGTAGCGGTTGGGCGACTTGTCCCTTACCAGAAAAAAACAAGAATGAAGCTTTGTTTATTTTTGCGGCCCCACAAGCGAACCTTTTAGATACAATCTTACTGATAAGGGTTTAACCACGTAGCCAGTCGTTGCTAATAGTAATTACGTGTAAAAGGTGCCGTAAAAAAAAAATCTGCTTCAATTTGTGGACTCCGATTTCTGAACCGGGGCCTCATTTCGCGTTTTGCAGTGTTTAGTGAGCATAAGGTGCTAAATATTGTAAAGGTGCCGAATCAGAAATTCATCCGGGTTTAAGAAAGGAAGTGAGTATTTTGCCCGACTGGCTAACCGACTATACAATTATACCCCCCAACATGCATAAAATGGACTTAGCCGACGGTCTTGGCAACACTCGCTCGGAATTAATTTCTAATCGCAGACACAGCGCCTTGCCGAGTCGAGGACTTAGAGGCCGGGGTGGGGCAGGCCGCGCAGCGGCGCCCCCCGAGCGCAGCGCAGCAAGTGAAGAGAGGGGCGGGCCCACGGCTATAAGTCCGCAGACGAGTGCAAACGCGCTAGTGTCCAACCTTTACTCCAATTTAACCGTACTATACTATTTGTACACGTATAAAAGGCGATGCTATGTTACCCCAGTCGGGC